CTAACCGAATGAGGGTTTTAACAATGAAGTGTGTAGGTGGGACATAACTGATTGGTTGGATGTCAACGACACAAGACTACAGTGATAAGGGGTCAGGGTTTTACTCACATTTGAGCAGGTGAAGTGCGAAGTATGTGGGGGCGTATTCGAATGAAGATTTACGTTGATGAGTTCATGTGTAAGTGCGGAATTTCGTTAACAGGAAGAATCTCTCCGCACTCTTGTTACTCTAAGTGAATTAACAGCATGGGATAACACTCTTATAGCTGCGATATGCAGTTCGTTTCTGGGGGATTCCTGTGCACGCGAGGACCTGCCGATGAGGCTGAACTATTTCAAAGCCGATTGCTACAATTGACAAATCGGAATCGCTCAAGTTAAGTTATTATACTGTTTTCTACAAATCAAATTCTGCAGCCTACAATAACGTTTAGTTTTAGTTTTAAACCAGCACACATTAACTGAGGTTCACCGACAGCTAATGGACCTCACTCGGCCACGGATTTTTCACAATTGCGTCAACTGAATTATCCAAATCTGCCACAGCTTAGTATTCATTCTGGTGGATTCTAGATGCTTGCTTGTGAAATCTTGCTCGGGCTGTCAGCTTGCTGTATTGGTAGTGGTGGATTCCATACGATCAGTAGGTTGGGCGAGTAAATCGACCCAAGTGTGACTAAATTTACGCCTCATATTGAGCCTCGTAAAACAGTGGCAGAGCGTTGATTGCGTTCCTTGTTTTATGGGTTCGACTCCCACCGAGGCCGCGAATTTTTCATAATTAAGTCAAATGAAATATGTTTCCAGTAGCAGAAAAGTATGGGCAGTAAAAATTTTTAGTAAGAGTCGATCAATGAAATGGCACTGATTTATCTATACCTATCTACATATAGGTATGCAGGATCAAAAAACAAGGCTTACGGGCCGTCATCAGATTTAAAACCTGCATAAGTATTAAGCCACGTCTTTTCAGTAACATATATCCACTATTTAACTGAAAAAAAAGCATCAAAATTTAAAACTCCATGGAGCGGCACATCCACTTTGCCTAAGGACTGTGAACGTCTTCGAGCACTGCCATGCTAACTTCTGCGGGGCCATTGTTTGTATGTCAAACGTTTTGATATGGGTTACAGTTTATTTAAGGTATCACCACGAAAACCATTGGGAGGGTTTCCAAGTGGGGTCTTCGAAAGTTCCTTATGTATTATAGCCACCTACTTAAATGCTTTAAGTAGGTTGAATTACCCATAATCTTCCAGTTTTCTTCACGCCATCCGTCGGCCCAGCAGGGATTTGATGATGGCATTGAACTGCAGAGTGGTCCTCCGAAGGTCATCGCATAACCTCACCGCTTAAATCAGTATACTAAGCTAAATTGGCCTTTTAAATTAACCACAAAAAAATCGCTTACTTACAAATTTTAAGTAGGGCGATTTACACAATCGTCAACTTTTTAATGCGTTAACCTTACTTCTAGTTGGTGTTGGTGGTAACGCCAGAGAATGTACCTCAGTGACCTCGCCCGAGGTTAGGGCCCACTCCCCTGACATACAGACGTTCGCCATTGGTCGGGCGGGGGGGGGTTAGCCTATTTTAACCTATTTTAGCCTATTTTAGTGTCCTTGCCCGAGGTTTGAGTACGCGACCCAACTTGTCCTCGTAGATTTTTATTTTACAGGAATATTGCGATCTAATTTGTTCCCTGATATGTCCCGCCCGTCCTCTCTCCTGAAATCAGGTGCCCGTGAGCCTGAGGGGCGCGTTTCACACGCTCCCCAGGCAGCCCCACAAGGAATCCCTACCAATCCAAACCATCAACCCCAGAATTCTGTAATGCAGGACAGGTGGCAATTGAGAAGCAGACGACTCGATCGCTGGGACAATGGCGATTGTATTTATGGCATTTTTGTTTTAATTTATCCATTCTCTTAATAAATTCAATTAACTAAATTATTTATTATTTAAATTCATATTTAAATTATTAGTTTTATCACTGCACATAAAAATCTTCGTGTAGGCTTAATTGCCCATATTATGAATGGAAGGATACGATTTATTATAAGCATTTAAACATGTATTTAATTAAGGACTTTTTTAAAACAGAAGGCATCCCTTTTCAGGTATTTTGTTTGCTGAAGAAGTCATTTACCGAACAAAATACGTACAAAGTATGAGTTGTGAATCTTTTATATAAAACAATAAATGAATTAATAAAGGCAGCCTAATCAATGATTGAAATGCATAGTAAGAAAGCAGCCATTTTTAAAGGGCACGCTTTTGCAGGTGGACAGAAATAAGCTCCATAAAACCCAACACCCTGACAGAACTGACATATCTTCAGGTTAGACTGCACATTAATCAATCTGAAAAATCCACTTACGTTAACAGCCTTTCCAATTTGTGCTTTTTAATGGCCGATTTCTAAGAGGTGGAGTGGTGACTCTAAGAGCAATAAGATGGGGATGTTTCAGACTTTTCAATTTAACTAAACGATACATAAAACTGATATTCCTCCCGTTCAACTGTAGTATGATAGGCGAATTACTTTGAGCTCCCTGTCGTTGCTATGGGGAATAACTCTCCGTGTGTTTATCACTGCATTCATATAAAGATATTCACAAAGTGGTTGTATTGTGTTTCTTTTGCTCACATTCACTTTTGTGAGATCAATTTTACTTTAGTCTGTATATAGGCCTAAATGAAAAAGGGTAGCGGAATTTACTTACTTTTTGTGCTCTCTTAGAGGCAGCTCACTGTGATGAGACAGCAACCTCTACTCCCCTCACCTCCCACTACCCCCATTCCCCTTCTGTACGATCCTGGGCTTCGTAGTGGTCACGGGGCTTATATAACCTATCTTAGCCTAATATTTTTGTCGTCATCTGCTCGACGCCCTTCTTAACTAACAACAAGGCTATAGGACTTAAGGCTACGACGATTAACCCTAACACCTACAATCTTCCAGACCCTGGTTCCTTAGGAGAT